CCCACCCCTGGGGGGTACTGTCTACCCCAAACCCTCGGCAAGCTCCCCAGAACCCGAGGGAGGGACCCTGCCCCTCAGAGGGGGTCATTGCCCACCCCCAGACTCGGCTCGGCCAGCCCACGTCCAGCCCCCTCTTACTGCAGTAGGTCATGTTGCAGCATGTGTCTCTCGGGTCCACCTCAATGACAGGGTAGGTGCCCTCCTCCCAGCATGACTCAGGCTGCAGCTGGCTGCACTGTTTGGCTTCACACACGATGCCACTGCCTCCTTCCAGGCAGACACAGTTCTTGCAGTCAAACTGAAAGCGTTCCCCAAACTAGCAGGACAAAAAGGACACTGTAGGTGAGGGAGAGAGGCGGGAGGGACCGAGCGGTGAGGGGCGGCCCTGGTTCCAGCACCAGGGTGCAGAGCCAGGAGGCTGGAGCCCACAGGCTGATGGACCTCCATGCCCCTGCCTGGACACACCAAGAGCCTCCTGAGTCCCCCACTGGCCAGACTAAAGACATGGTGGCTTTGATCTCTCCTCTGGAAATCGTCTCCAGTTCAGCCTCCCAAGACCTCTCCGTGTGATTGAGGGATAGGAGCAGAGAGAGGAAGGGCCTGGAGGAGGTCACTGGCCTGCCCACTCCACCTACAGACCCAGACCTAGTGCAGGCAACAGGAGACAGCTGGGACTCAGCACTCTCTTGGAAAAGACAGCACTTCTCCTTTAAGAGGGAAAGATGCCAGGTTCGCCCCAGCCAGACCAAGTGCCAATCCCCACAGCAGCATCTACACAACATGGCCAAAGACTCTGGTCTGGATTCTTGTATGCGGGTGCCAGCTCCCCCCAGCCCCACACCCCAACCCGTGCACAAGGTTACAAAGGGCACGGAGCTAGGACGGACCTCTCTGGGCACGCTGTCTGGTCCCACACAGCCTGGAGAGAAAGAGAAAGGAATTGGCTTATAGTGGTGGGGACAATTCAGAGTCACAGCCTCCACCCAAAGCTTCCACTTGAAAGCCCACCCAACCTACCACAGGTCGGCACACAGACATCGATCCCGGGGGCAAAGCTGATGGTGCCTTCAGGACAGAAGCAGCCTTCCGTCGTCCTGTTGTCCGTGGGTACCTGTGAGCTGGAAGGAGAGGACAGAGAGAGTCAGGCCATGCCAGGCTCCCCTGGCTTCAGGCCCGGGGCCTGATGGTGTCTCTTCAGAGCCTTCCTGCCTTTCAGGCCAGTGTCCTAAGAGCATCAGACCAACAGCTTTGGGAGGGAACACCAGCTCTGTCAGGACATGGAATAGTCAGAGATTTTAGATAGGCTTGGGGGGGGGGGGTGTCGCAAGACACTGACGGAGGCCCCGAGCCACAGCAAGGAGCTGCCCCTTCAGCACTGGGTGCCACAGCCGTGGCCACTGGCAGAAGGGCCAGAAGGAGGAACGGAAGGTCGGAGGGCAGAGAACGAGGCTGCAGCCTCCCCCGAGAGGGGCCCCTCACCTGGATTTGCAGGTCAGCTCCTCAACAGGCCCACACGCCTTATACTCCTTATGAGATGGGCATGTCACATCTGGGGGACAGAAGACAAACCCACCAATACTGATGCTGCCCAGGTGAGCGAGCTGACAAGCTTTCCCCTGCTGGCCTCCTCCTCCTGGGAGTAAGAGGCCTCCAATTCCGGACAAACCAGCCATCCCAGCCCTTTGCCCACCCACCCACCTGCCATCTTCCCAATTCTCTGCTAACTCATCCATTCACCTGTCTATCCCACCATTCATCTCTCCATCTCTACCCAGAGCCATGAGAGAGAAGCTCAGTAGACCGTGGACACATGTGGCCCTGACCTTTCCCTCAGCCTCCACCTCTGTTCAGAGCCAGCAGGCCCCAAGCTCAGACAAGGCTGGAATAGAAGGAGGCAGACTCAGACCCACCTCCCTCTCCTTCCTTCCCAAATCTTTCCTGTTCTCACTTTCCCCTCGTCCTGAGCTCTTCTCCCAATGGGCCTTAAAAGACACCCCACTCCCACCTCAGCCAAAATGGGGGGCCTTCTGCTGGGCTGGGCACAGGCCGGGATCCCCAGCAGGCAGTGAAGCCCAGCCATGGGGTCTGGGAAGGCAGTGATCCCAGAGCTCAGCCCCACCTGCTGCTACAGAGCCCTACTCACCACAGACACCGTTGGTGTGCTCTCGCCAGCTAATGCAGATGCCCTCTTGTGCACAGAGGGCTGCATAGGTCTGCAGACTGGCACACTCCACGCCAGAGTCGGGCACAAAGCAGCTGTCAAAGACGCAGGCATCATAGTAGTGCTGGGATGGGGCATATTTGTGGCACTCGACAAATAGGCTGAAGGGAGAAACAGAGGCACCTTGTCTGTCTGCCTGATGTCTGCCTCACATGCCGCGCACCAGCACCCTAGAGCTCGCTGCTAAGCGTGGTACCCACCCCAAGCTGGCATCACCTTGGTCATGCCAGGCATATCATCCCCAGAGCTCTGGGGAGGCCAGGAGACATGCCCGGAAGACTCGTCTCCCCCAAGGAATGTGGGAGCCTTTGGGGAAGCACAGACAGACGAGCTAGATCTGGAAAAAGGTGACTCGGCATGAAAGGCGGGAAAGGGGACCTGAGAATGAGGGCCCAAGAACTTCAGACCCTGAATTCTTCCCCATTGAGGCTGCTGGGCAGCTGGAAGGGGCCCCAAGGCTTCCAGTCCTGTGCCAGCAGGCTCCTTGCTGGCTCCCTGACTGAGAGCCAGACAACACTTGAATACTTCCCCCCATGGGCAGCTCACCACTTCACCCCTGCCTCATTGTCAGAGAGTCCTCCTTGCGCTGAGCTGGTCTGATTACCGCGGGTTCCCCCACCCACCGCTGCCTTCCCTGTGTTCCTCCCACAGCCTGCAGGCCAAATCGCCCCCAATCCTGGCAGCAGTATGGGGTAGCTCAGAAAGAGTGTAGGGCCCCTTCCCCTTCCTACTTCTCAGCCTCCTCCTCTGCTAAATTCAGGATTTGATGCAATGTCCTCTCATGGCCCTCCCAGCTCTAAATCCCTGACCTGATGAGTTTTCAGAGGCATCTTCCAGCCCGCCCCTAACTCTGCATGACCTTAGCCAAGTCCCTTCAAAGCTTGGAAGCCCTCTAAGATGAGTCCCAGGCTTCACAGAAGCAGGAGCCCCAGGCTCCCTCTGGGACCAGGCGCAGGCCACTGACCTCCCTGGTTAGACTTCCCACCTGCACGTGGGGTCCTGACACCGAGCTACCTGTGCCGGGTGGATAGAGCCGAGAACCATCCCCAGGATCCCTCAGAAGGCAGGTGCAGAAGCGCCAGCCGGACACCAGCACAGTCACAGCCCTGCCCTCTTCTGCCTTCCCACGTCCCTGTGAGGCAGCTACAACCGTACCCATTTACAAAGGAGAAAACTGAGGCTCATTGAGTTCAGGGGCTTGCCCAGGACCCCTAGACAGTGGGTGGGCTGGCATTATAACTCGGGGGCCTTGACTCCCCGGCACTGGCTCTTGGTCCTCGGAGGAAGAGAAGGCGGGGCCTGGAGGAGGTGGCCGGGGGCCAGGAACCCGGGGTTACCTGCTCTTGATGAGCTCACAGAGAGGTGATGAGACGCATTCCGGGGCAGTGGGCGTCACTTCGGGCTTGATGGTGGTGGAGCTGACGTGGGGGCAGTGAGGCTTCGAGGGGTCATTCACCAGCCACTCATCGGCCATGATTTCGCAGTCGGAGATGACCTTTCCACTGGGCAGCATGCAGTCATCAGCTGTGCTGTTGGTGCAGGTGCCTGGAGTAGGAGAAAACTCTCCAGGACTTCAGAAGACAAGGCCTGGAGCTGGCAGCTCTTCCCCAGGGGCCAGGACATGCGCAGCTGGCCCTTTGGGGTTTGCTGGCAGCCTGCCTGGGGCTACCACTGGGCACCACGGCCCGAGGTCCGCCTACACCCAGGTTCTACTCAGCCAGTGTCTGAATGGACATAGGAAGGAAGGCACTCGCTCTTGCTGGAAACGAGGCTACAACCTGGCCTCAGGGACCAGGAACCCTCAGACCCCCTACTGGGTGCCTCCAGAGGCAGCCCTCCCTCTCAGCCGGGGCAGAACAGCCCAGGCAGCCACAAGGCACGGGCCACAGTTCCAAGGCCCTTCCAAAAGTGTGGTAGGGGAAAACAGGGGCTTCTCTCAGGATGCTCCAATGCCATGCTCTCCCCATCCCCACTATCTCCCCTAGGCCTAGCACAGGGCACCCATTGGACACATCCCCATCAGCCTGGAAGGCTCCCTATAAAAAAGTCAGAGGCCGGGAGAAAATCTTAGCGCTTCTAATAGCAGATACCTCAGTGGGGAACACTGAGCAGCCTCTGAATGGGAGCCGGGCCCTTTGGCCACGGGGCAGAGCACTGGGGTCCTGGGCATCCATTTGGCAAGAGACAACCTCTCAGCCCCCTTTGGACCCGGTTGCGTCTAATCTCCACTGGTGGTCATTTGTCCCTGACTCTGCCTATCATACCATGACCCCGACAGGCTCTGCCAAAGGGTAGCCGGGAAAAGAAGTTGACCAGAGACCCTGGAGGCAGAAAGCAAGAGGAAGCCCATACACACACGCATGCACACACACATGCAAGTGTGTACACATGTCCACACATGAGCACACAGAACCCACACTCACTCATTGTTCACATGCATAGGCACTGTGTGTGTACATGTATGTACACATGTCCGCATGCACAGACAAAACCCACACTCACGCATGTGCTCACATGCACAAGCACTGTGTGTGAATGCATATGCACACACAGACCCACGCTGTTCTCTCCAGGCTGGGAGAGAGCTCAGAGGTTCTAATCTGACCTGAAGTTGCTGAAAACCCCCAGGGAAGAGGAGCCTGCCCTGCCCCCAACATCCCCTTCTGGACCGGGAGGCCCCTGAGGCTCAGGACAGATTTCCTTACCGCACTGGCCTTTGGTGTTGTTGCCAAATTTGTTATAAGGCATCTTGATAGCAAAGGAGAGACCATTGTAAGACACCAGCACACCGAGCTCCGGGATATTCACCACGTAGTTAATGCCAGCCTCGTAGATCCGGACACCGTACTTCTGATAAGGCAGTGCCACCTCGTGCTTGTTCACCAGCACCTGCAGCACAGAGAGGAGTCAGGAAGGGGGCCAAGGGCTCACCGAGCAACTGGGCCAGGGCCTCGGAGGGGCAGGAAAGGGAATCCCATGGCCTGGCTTTGAAGCGCAGCTCTGCCTCTCAGGTGCAGAGAGACCACCCTGAGCAGTCCACCTCACCCTCAGATTCGTCTGCATAAAATGAAGGGGGTTGAACTCAATTCGAAATCTAACACACACTAGCAGGCCAGCCCCTGGGGGGGGAGGGGGCTGGCTTTGCTGACCTAGCTGTTTACTGTTGGGTGATGAGGGAGGGAGGCAGCTCCATGGGCCCCAGGTTCTGAGAAGCCAACAATGAGAACAAGACAGGCACTCCTGGGTCTGAGAGACAGCCAGTGGAAAAGCCAGTGCTTTGCCATGGGAAGCCCAGGGTTCCATATTCCCAGAGAGATCAGCTTGGAGCTCTCCCTCAGGAGACCCAAATGGAAAGGCCCCCAGGGCTGCCAGCTGCCCCACCTGGCTCTCAGGCCATAGTTCTCCTTCACCCTTTCTTCCCTGCCTCAGTGGACACTCTCCCTCTTTGACAAGCAGGTGCCCTGGAGGAGGCAACTTCCACTGCCCCCTCCCCCTGTCCCCCTCCCCAGAAGTCTAAACCGTGGCCAGACCTCCTCGTCTGCCTTCACACCAGCTGCTGACCTTGTCCCTCCACTCCACTCCCCCAGGCTCCGAGGAGCCCCATGGGCTGTGCTTGGCTTCCTGGGGGTCTCCCTGACTGCAGTCTCTTCCCCTTCCCAGTCAGCCTTTCCTAAAGAGCAAGTCAGGAAACCTCTCTTGCTTAAGAAACTTCACTGCCTCTGGGATTGAACAGGAACACCTCTGCTGGTCACTAAGCTTCTTAGAACCTTGGTCCTTCCCTTTGCAATCTTCTTAACATAGTGCTCCTCCTCCTGGACCCTGTGGTCCAGACACACTGACCTCCTTGCTGTTCCTCACACAGGTCACTGATCTCCCACTGCCATGCCTTTGCACCTGCTGTCCCCCATGCCTGGAATGCCTTCCCTCCTCACCTCCACTTCTTAGAACCCCTGAATTCCTTGAGACTCAGCCCCAAGTCCCCCTTCTGCAGGAGGCCTTTCTGGTCCCCTCCCCCTCAACTGCTAGGGGCTTCTCTCCCTTAGGACACCTTGAATCCACTCTGAATGTATCCTAGATGTACCCACTCTATATATGTCTCTTGTATGTATCCATTATGCGTGTGTCTTATATGTATCCACTCTTCATGTATCTTGTGTGTATCTACTCTGTATGTGCCTTATATGTATCCACTCTGCATGTATCTTATATGTATCCATTCTATATGTATCTTGTATGTATCCACTATGTATGTGTCTTATATTTATCCACTCTTCATGTATCTTGTATGTGCCCACTCTTCATGTATCTTGTATAATATCCACTATGTATGTGTCTGATATGTATCCACTCTGCATGTATCTTATATGTATCTACTCTGCATGTATCCTGTATGTATCCACTCTGCATGTATCTTATATGTATCTACTCTGCATATATCTTGTATTTACCCACTCTGTATCTTGCATGTACCCACTCTGCATGTATATTGTGTGTAGCTACTCTGCATGTATCTTGTATGTACTCATTCTGTATGTATCTTGTATGTACCTAGTTATTGTGTGCTGTCTTCACCATTAGAATGTAAGTTCCTAAGGACAGGGATCATTTCCATATTCACTTAGTATCCCTAGCACCCAGCACAGTGCCTGTCACACAGTAGGTCCTTCATAAATGTTTGCTGATTCACTGATTGAGAGTCCCTTGCCCAGTGGAGTCCCCCTTGCCCAGTGGAGTCCCCCTTGCCCCATGCCTTGGGCAGTGCCCTATGGTCCAGAGCACCAGACATGGGCAAGCTGAGCCATCCCACAGCATACCTGGACCTTCATGGGTGCCATCCGGATGGTCTTGATGAGAACCTCCTGGGTCTCGTGCCTCACAATGAGGGTGCGTGGGCAGGACACCTTGTCATTGATGTCACAGTGGTAGTTGTCGATGTAAATGCCAAAGTCATCCACAGTGGGAGAGATCTCTTCCACAAGCACATAAGTGCAGTTTCCTTGGTAGCTGTAGTACAGCCCATCAAAGGTGGTGTAATGGGGGTCTCCCCAGCCAGTACAGTAGCCTGGAAAAGCAGCATTTGCCCTCAGCTGGCACCCTGGGGAGACGCCTGGGGGCTAGGTGGGGAGGAAGCCCCCAAATCCTCATTTGGGGAGGGGGCATCAGACACTAGTTGCAGATGAGGTGGCTAGCTTAGGCTCCTGGCCTGAGAAACCCTCTCCCCAAACTCCCCAAAGGAATCCCCCAGTCAGTTAAGCTGTTGTGGGGCACTTAGTACTTCATTTTTGTCTTTGGAGGTCTAGCACCTAAGATAGTTCCTGGCACACAGTGGGTATTTACTTGTGACACACAGTAGGCACTTACTTGTCCATGCCTGTTAAATTGAATGAGATCCGGCCCCCCTGCAATACCACCTGTCACTCTTCCTTGTTTTGGGGGATGAAAGGCCCAGTCTCCAGAACAAGCACAGGGGACAGTTGATGCAGGAAAGGGCTGTCTACTTACAATCACACTCCCAGTGGCCACAGCAGCCATCAGGGTCCAGGACCCACACAGGGTTGAGGCCATTGCTGCACACAGGCTTGGGTGGCGGGTCGCACACCTTCTCAAAAATCTCCACCGTGTTGTCGTGCTTACACACAGCCATGGTACAGTTACATAACCACCAAGTTTCATTCTCCTACAACAGTGGGAGTGGCATGGAAGGAAAAAAAAGATCAGCTGGGATACAAACCATAGGCTTGGGACCAGGAGATCTGGGACCCCAGTCTAGTTCTATCCCTGACACTCCATGGGACTTGGGCAAAGCCCTTCTCCTTTCTGGGCTCCTACAATATAGAAGAAAGCGCCCTGACCCTGAGATCAGTGCTGAGCTGGAGGCCACTCCCTTTCCCCCTCCATCTGTCAAACGGAACTAATAATACTGGCACCGCTAATCCCTGGGGATGGTGTGGGGGCACAATTGGCATGAGCCTCTTGTGCCTGTTAGCAGTAATCTCCCAATACCAGGCTGTGAACTTCAGGAGGTTAGGGCTAGCCTGGTAGCCCAGGGCTCTGGACCCAGGAGCCCCACTCACATGATAGAGATGAAACCAAAATGACTTTGGAGGCAACATGTAACACTATGTTTATCCCCGTAGTTTGAGGGGAAGAAGGGGAAGGATCCTTTCAACAGACTGGAGCCGCAGTCTCTTTCAGTGGGTAAATGAGCCTGAATCCTGAGCTTGGGCCCTTTCTGGGCCAGTTAGCTTAGAAGTGACTTGGTCACAGGCCATGCCCCACACCCTGAGCACTCTAAAAAAAAAAAAAAAAAAACAACTGTCCATCCTTTGGGCTTATGGGCATAGAGATGGAAAGATCTTAGTAGCCACCTGGTTCTGCTCCCTTATATTACAGATGGGCAAACTGAGTCCCAGAGGGGGAAGGGACTAGTCAGGCTTGTTCACAAGGGGACCAGGAGAGTATGGATGGATCAGTACAAATCTATTCCCATGCCCAAGAAGAAAAAGACCCAGGGCAGTTGGTGAAGCAGAGGGCTCATCTTCATATACAAAGATGACAAACTCCTATGCACTCTTCAAGGTCTGGGAGTGGTGTGTGGTGTGGACACTGGCCCTGTCCTTATCATAAGCAGTCACAGACCTGCCGTGGTGGCACAAAGTCAGGGCAGCCTGGAGAGGGTGTGGTCGGTTTTGATGGGCTTGGTGCTGGGGTTGGCGTGGGGGTCGGTGAGGGCTGGGGTGTGGAAGGGCAGGACCAGTTGAAGATCTGAAGCTGACAGTCCAGAGAGCAGTTGACAAAATAGCAGTAGTCTCCATGTGTCCAGTTGTACACCACATCGCCTGCCAAGGAAGAGAACCCTCCCCAGTAACCACGTGGCCAAAAGGCAGAGGACTGGAAATGCCCAGCAAATCAGACAAGGACAAGGTCCCTGCAGGCTGCACTGTGCCAGAGCGCCAGGGCAGCTCCCCTCCCCCAGCCCATCACAGGGGCTGGCTCCTGGAGGGCAGCCATCAGGGCTCAAGGCTTCAGGGATGCCAAGCTGGTACACAAGCCTCACTTTCCAGCTGATGCCCTGGGAATGGCAGCACACTTAGCATCTCCCCAAGAAGCCTTAAAGAATGAAGCTGCTCATTGCTTCTCACCTTTATCATAGTATGTGTCATTCAAGTAACAGCAGAAGTAGATATGGGAGGATGGTGATGTGCCGGTGCTAGAGATGATGCTGACTATGGGAGACGTGAGTGGGCTGGCGGTGGCTTTGGTGGAGAGCCCTGTGGTATACACTGGGGTGGAGGTGGTATGCACTGTGGTTGGAATGC